AGTGCTAAGACGCATATGGGTTTCATTGGTTAGGGCTTAAGTACAAAAGTAGATTATCGTTAGGAGTGCAATAATATATTAGAGTTAGCACTTAGCTGTGCCAATATCCGTTATTGATTCAGCTTATTCCGTATATTGTTCTAGCTTGATTCTTGATGATAAATTGCTTCAACCAAAATTCATATTCCACAACTTAACCACTATGTGGAACCAGCTGCCCACTGAAGTATTTTCAAACCAATTCAAATACCGGCAACGCACTTGCGAGCCTTCTGGCAATATGAGTGTCCATGGGTAATATAATCATATACAACAATAATTAACATCAGGTGAGCTCCGCCCCGTTTGTCTCCTATTACATTAAACAATGTTAACTGAATTCATCTTTAATATAGTGTTTTTAATCGATAAAATATTTGTTTTTTTAATTTTCTACGTAATAAGGTTCGCTGCATACTCACAGCAGCATTTTAAATGGAACCGAAGAGGGTCTAATTCTGTTGATGGCAGCAGAGAATTATGCTATCAATACATTTTATTTATTATGAATATTTATCATATACATGTAAACCTATTAACCTGTAAATGTTTTTGTTCGAAAGAATTTTGTTTTATCTTAAAGGAAGATGACTGTTAAAAAATCACCAGAACATCTTCTAAATCTCTGGGGCGGTGCTGCCAAGTAACATCTGCCTTGGATTCTTTTGAGAGACGACCTAAGCAAATTATAGATGACGATACATTCGTTGGTTTTCAACTATCCTACAAGAAAAGAGGGTACCAATTCTTAAAAGGCCGGGAACGCACTCGCGAGCCCTCTGGCATTGAGTGTCCATGGGCGGCGGTTGCCCTTGATCTATAAAATTTTTTAGTCTTCCTTCGTTTTAACCATCGCCGTTCCGTTGCCTGCCTATCCGTCGTCGGTAGATTGCACCTCGGAGAATGGTTCTTGGAACACACCTAATTTCGTCGTTCCCTTTCAAACTAAGAAACACGCTCGTTTCTTGTGAAAACAGCGAAGGAGTGGAACTCTTTGCCCCCCTTCAATCGTTCCTAAAGAGTACCACGTAGGTTCATCCAAGCGGTGGCTTAACTCCTGGACATGCGTGCCTTCAATCGGCCGCATATAACATCAGGTGGGCTTGTGACCAAATCTATTTCCACTTCTGTATAAAAAATAGTGTTGTATCATACACCATTTCTATCCCATACAGCAGTTCCCTGGCATGTGTATCTTGTTACTCATTTAGTTTACCGTTTATGTATTTAAGGTTCATATTGTTTTGTTCATAAATATGTATGTTATAAACCATATATTTGTTCAAATAACGTTTAACGCAAATTACATTACGTGTCGCTTTACAGTTGTAGTCGGGAGACGTACGTCATTAAAACTAAATCAGTTTAACTGCACTCTTTCAAATATACTCCGTCTCTTTCTTTCAAATTGTGTTAACACTGTTATGAAAAGAAACAGATGTACTTTTCTTAAAACGGAGCAATTAGTCTCTTCCTTATATGTATATTTTAGAAATGTCCTTATTCGTTCACAATAAAAATTTGTAAGTCAACGGGAATGGAGAACTGTCGAAGTAGACATGGGTTTTGGCTCTGCCAAAACTTAATCAAACAATCAGGCAAAAAGTTTATAATAATTTACCAAAAACATTCAAGATAATTAAACATTCAAAAAAAACATTAAAAATATTTATGTACTACTTTTGGAAAAAAAATATTATTCTATTAATGATTATTTGCGTGAAACATTATAATTAATATTAATTTGATAACGTAATAATATATTTTAATAATACGATATTTTATCACTACAAATATAAGAATTGACTATAATTATATGACTCATAATGTATGTAACTTCTATGTAAAATTCCTTTAAATACTAATTTGCACGTCATTATGTGTGGTAGAATATGAGAACTTTAGATTGTACCACCATAACATTTTTGTACCATATTCTTGCAAATATTATTTTTATTATTCTTCCTATCCGGTACACTCTTGACAGACCGGTCGTGATCGCTATGAAGTAGGGGTAGGTATGATGCGCTTCACGACGTTTCTCCATCGTTGCCTATTAGAAGTCATCCTGCTGCACTGATTGAGTGAATCTCCTACGGCAGACTTGATTTAGTCAGTCCAACGCGTAGGTGACCTTCCGCGCGGTCTAGTGCCTTCCACTTTCCCCTGGATGACAAGGCGTTCTATGGACTGATCACAACGAGATACGTGTCCGAAGAATGTAAGGATGCGAGATTGTATTGTCGAAGACGCTGTTTAATACCGAGTTCTTGAAGAGACGAGATCGAGACGTTTGTACGAAACTCGGTCCACGAAACCCCAAGCATTCTCCTCCAGCAATTTATTATTAGTTAAATATAATATTTTAATTATCAGTTTTATATTATTTTTATTATTAGTTAAATATTATTTAAATTATTATTATTATTAGCTTTTTAGATTATTTAAATATTGTCTTGCTTTTAATTTTTACAATAGACCCTTGTATCATTTTTATTAGGCTACCAAAGGCGAGTAATGCGCTGGCGCACTTTCAGATAGTGTGTGTCCATGGGCGGTATCACTTAACATCTGGTGAGCCTCCGGTGCGACCAGTTCCATATGAAAAACGCTTGAAAGATTAAATTATCATAATAAGCGTAAAATATAGAAAATGCAATATTTTATAGTTAATAAAATAACTAAATACCTATATGACAGGAATAATACTCAAAATACAGTTGAAATTAAATAAAAAACTTTGTAATGTGTGTTTTATTCTTTGACATCATAATAACTAAATAAAGTGCATAAATAGGAAAACATTATTTACAAATATCTTTTTATATCTAATTTACAATATTTACCACAATTCAGGGGCTGATAAAACAAATAACCAAGATTTCTAACACTTAAATGTTTGTATGGATTTGTTTTAAGATCTTATTCATGACTAAACAGTATGCCAATTATAAATTGGCGGGTAAAATGACATTTGTCAGTTGTCAGAGAGCGGTCTTGGATGCGTCTACTAAAATGTCAACTTGTGGTTGACAGCTAGGCGAAATGGAAAAATTAGAAATACTCGGGCATATAAATGCCATTTTTGATTTTAGTTTAATTAATTTACTGCGCAAACTTTAGTATCATTAATATGTTCTGTCTTTATTATTTGTATGAGTTTTAAACGCCCCAAAATGTGTGTAACCTAATTTGATCGTAAGGCTTAATCTCTAATTTACACGTGACTCAAGCTAAAAGCCAGTTAAGATCTGGCAAAAATCTGACAGCTCAAAACTGCTCAAAACTGTCAAATGACTTTGACAGTTCACAAATCTGGTTTAACATATGGGCCTTTATCTAAGTGAAGTAATCTTTTGTCTCTTTCTGTCAAATTGTTTTTACGCTGTGATAGAAAGAGACAAACTTTTATAGAGAGAGGGTTTATCTCTAGAATGCAAAATTTAAGGCAGCTAAAAATAAGCTCTATAAATCTCTCAACATTTACGAACACAAACTTTCGTTAACACAATAATCATGGAACATATTATACACACCGTCTTCTATACATTTGTCATAAAAAAAGGAATTTCGTTGTATTCTGTCTCTTTCTATCAACCTATGTTAACACTGTGATGAACAGAGACCCTCTGAATTTACCGATTTTGTTATTAAATGTATGACGCTTCGTATAACTAAGTATGCCCATTGGAAACTTAAATAGAAAGGAACATTATACAAATAACATTATACAACATTGTATAATCAAAATATACATTATATTTACAACCTAAAGCTAAAATTAACTTAAGTGAATTGTGCAAAGCGCATATAATGAGGTATTCATTTACAATGTGTAAATGGTGACTAAAATTGACTAAGGCCGATCACTGACGTTTAACGGAGCGTTTTAACGAAATATAGAAACCCACAATATAACTACGCGATTTAGTTTTAATTAAACGCAAAATCTTTAAGTTAACAGATTTCGTTTAGCCACGGTTTCAATATTTAAAATATCGATATTTTTAACGAATCGTAGCTCTGGTATTTGGAATATAAAAACCGTTAGTACACGTTAGAGTCAGTGAAGTTAGGCTAAAGTATAGTCCCATTAAAGGGTTTGTTCAATGTTAATGAAGAACTATCAACTATTATAAGAAACAGATTTAATTTTGGCTGACATTTAGGCCGTAGAGAGAATCAATCGGATATGAAGAAGTGATTAGAGATTCGTTGTATGTATAAAATGTCGAAGTTAATTTGATAAAAATACTTTATAGGAATTTTAATATTGCTTATCATTGATATTTAATGATCAATATAAATCAACAAAAGGAGCGTTCAAGTATTACGTCACGCAATTTTTGGAGATTATTGACCCCCCATGTAACGCGCCGTAACGTTTCTGTACCCAAGTATAGTAAAACGTTTCGTGACCCAGTGACTCGTTATACCTAAAAGTTACTGGAAAGTCAAAAATAATATTAACAATAACGGCTTAATTCAATCCCCGCCCGCATCGTAACGTTGTACAAAAGCCCCCCAAAATTCGTTACGTAATACGTGAACGCTCCCATAGCGATGAAAAAATATAAATATCAGATTAATAGTGACAAATGATTATATCCACACTAATCGAAAGTTGCATTAAGTATTACAAAAATCATCAGATTAATTATGAAAAATGATTATCATATCCACAATTGCAATTATAATGATGATTTTTATATCATTAAAGCATCAATGAAAAAATTATTGATAATCATCAAAAATTATTCACGAAAAATCATTATCATATTCACACAAATCATGCAAACAAATAACAATTTTTTTAACTCATTTGATATCATCATAGATAACAGCAATTGAGTAAAATAATCATCACATTAACATAAATTTAACATTAATGATGTTTCAAAAATTCATTTATACTCATATCAAAGCTTTTGCGTTAATTATAGAAAAAAAACAACAAACACTTATATAACGACTCCGCTCCTGGTAATAATTTTCGTCTGATCTTTCTTTTCCTCGTGTTTCGTCTGTATTTTCTTCCATGTATCGCCGAGGGCTTTGCTGAAGTGGTCGTCAACCCCTTGGTCCGGTTTTTTCGTCTGCAACTGCCGCCAGGTGTCGCCAAGCGCTTTGGCAAAGTGATCGTCCACTGAAAGGCTGGGGTCGTCGACGTCCATGGCGATTATTTTCGTCGTCTTCGGTTCGTCCGCCTTGAATTGTATGGGACTGCTCGCCCGGTCCTTTGTGTTCGGTTTGGGACCAGGTTGGGCGCCATCTGTGTTCTTTTTTATGAGATTCATGTAATTGTCGCCGAGAGAGCGGCGGAAGTGTTCTTCTATTACCGTGTCGCACATTGATAGGGAATCTGTGGAAGATTATTCGATTAAGAAAACGGATGTTAGTTGTTTCGACTATGTATTTGCGTGTTGTTCCCACGAGAATGTAAGTGCGTGCTCCTATTTCACCATGCCTTCTGCTGATAGAGGACAAATCTTTGTTTTTAATTTATTTTATTATTATTTATTACTTAAGATGTCATGTGGATAACATAAGCAATCATGTAAATCCTATTCAAAAATAACATACAACTGGACGAACTCGAGTATTTTTTATATTTATTCCATGAACTCGGAGAGTTTTTATATAATGAAAAATTTACTTTTATATACTTAGGTTTATATTCTTTCTAGTACCATAAGAAAAGGTTTCATATGTTGGTATGTAGCTACTAAAAAGGTAGGCTATGTAAAAACATCTTATTAAGGCGAAACGAGTTCGCGGGGGCAACTAGTTAACAATATTAAAGATTTCTTACCAGGCGGAGGTTCGCTAGTCTTAATGACACTTGGTCGGGTGTAGGGCGGCGCTGGGCGGCTGCGCAGACGCATATCTATCGGAGCCTCCGGTTTACCCGGGTACTCGGGAGGAGCTGGAATGACAAATAAACTTTATTAATTTAAATGTAAAAAAATACTTTTTAAATTTGTTAACCAAAATTAAATCATGGCTTCGTAGCGTTAGAGAGTGGACGGGTATTGCGACTGCGGAATAGTTGCATCTGGCACAGGACAAGACACGCTTCACGACTAACGGACAACCTCAAGTAATGGAGAGGCACCAAAGAAGAATTTGTTAGAATGTAAAATCAAAAATGGGAGGTCGTTCGATTGAACATCGGCTTCAATATCTGCAGTTCGCAAGATGGCGTATTCAGCCGGCTGATGTTGCCATAGTTGATATTGTAAGCGCGCTGACCCCGTGCACTGCCCTAGCTAGCTGTATTTGCAAAAGAAATTGGCCAACTGAAACCTGTTCCATGAATAGTATCATACTAAGCTGGATAATCGCACATAGAAATAATAAATCTTATTCTTTGGAAGCAGTGTTGGCCTCAGCGAGCGACTCTCGTCCCTGATGATGTAGGTTCCAACCCAGGCTGTGCACCAATGGTCTTACTATGTATAACATTATGTCATATTTAGACCCAAAAAGTTGACGGTCAGGCACAGGCTGATATTTGCATGTTAAGATAAAAAATGAGCACGAAACATACAGAAATCTGAGGCCAAGGATTTCGGCACCACTTTTTTGCATTTAATGGTTAAGAAAACGGTTTATTTCTATCGAAATAAATATAAATTTTAACCCATTGTTTTATTGTGTTATTAATAGGTATAATAGTCCCTATACAATTACACAATACATAAGATAAAGGCAAAATACATATTTAAACACAAGCTTAAAACATAGTAAGCAGTTATTTTAATTTTATTTTTTTTGTAACATTTACGTGCACTTAAATTGCCATACACTTTAGATAAATGAGTTTGTCACTATCTAATATGCCGTAGATATAGTATTATGTATGATGTGGTAAACTTGAGTACATAAATAAAAAAAATATGTGAAAAAGATTAAAGAAAAGTTTAGCAAAACGTAATATAGTTATATATATTATACTAGGTTTATTTAAATCTTTTTTTGTAGTTTATTTTTTAAACAAAAAGTGAATTTGAACGAGTCTTTTTTATAGAAGCATTGATCTTTCTTATGGAAATAATTTTCTAAAATTATCATTTCCATAAAATAAAATTACCCAATTTTTTTTATGGAACTAGAACTATATGGTATAAAATTACCTTTTCCAAGAAGTGCTAGGTTCGCCGGTGCGTCGTCTGCCTCATCCGAGAATTCTCCGTCGCTGTGCCGCGTCCGGATTATACTCGTCGTGGCACGCTTTTCATTGAAGGACTGCGATCGTAGAGCCATTTTGCAGCTGTCTCTGAAATATCAAAAATATATTGTTAAAGTTGTTTGTTTTCTTACCAATATAAACAGCATATTTGACAGCGTGACACTATCATTGACACGTGACATATCGCTTTTAAAGGCGTTATAAATAATTATTAATTTAAAAAATCGGTAATTAAAAATATAAATTTTTCTTCGTCACAGATTAGTCGATTCGACGTACGCACAACGGACTATTTACGAGTCTAATTGCGGAGAAAGGAGTCCTACTACCCTAACCTAGTCGATTCGACGATGACGTAGCTAGAAAATAATGTATCTTCGTCTGTCTAGGATTGGAGTTAACTTCATAGGACTTTTCGATAATATACTGCTGCTCGCTAAAATGTCATTGCTTGTGGCGGCGTCCATGCGTCGGGTTGTCTCTCTCCCTAAAATATGGCGAGGGGGCCGATGGCTGGCCATGCGTCAAGCTCGTGAACGGGTGCTACTTGTGGTGACTGGTCGTACTTGAATTCGTGTATGCGGTGATGTTAATTATTTCGACTATGAGTTTGCGTGTTGTTCCCACGAGAATGTAAGTGCGTGCTCCTATTTCACCATGCCTCCTGCTGATAGAGGACAACTCTATGTTTTTAATTTATGTTATTATTATTAATTACTTAAGATGTCATGTGGAACATGGTTTAATGGTTGCTCCTTACAAACGTTGTGTAAAAAAAAAGAGTTTATTGCCAGTTCTTCTCTTCCGTTCTACGCCCTTGATTTGAGAACTGGCACTAAATATAAAATTAGAAGCATTAATATGTATCTCTTTACTGACAAGTCATAAGTGTACAATGTGTTACCCATATGATTAAATGATTTTTTATATGTGTATTTGTGTAATTCAAGAATCATAATAAGGTAAAAACCTTGACGTTTGCTTTCGTGTTCACAGATCTCAGCGACTGGTGCGACGCCATCTTGCCTATGCCTTTTTGAAGTTATACTTCTTTAGGCGCGTTATGAAAAATTGATGAGAGTGAAATTTTACGATGCGCGCGCGCCATGACACAAAATTAACAGAATGAAGTTGCCCACGAAAGATGCTACGGCATTGGACATAATCTAAAAACAACATTCGAATAATAATAGAATGTATGTTACACTTAATGTAAGAGAATATTTAATAATAATTATCTGCATGCAATCAAAAACTATTTTTAATAATGCCAAAGAAGTATAACTTCTTACGCGCGTACATAAGTACACGCACCCTTTTTTTTTTACATGTGTCTTCAGACATCATGTAAAATCTAGCCTAACTTAAGACTAATAAATAAGTCTAACCTAATTTACTAATAAGTATATTTAACATAAGAAAGTGTCGAATAACTTATAGTCTCTATTATGGGGAAGACTACACTCTGATTTGATTCTATTTAATAAATTTAATGATAACAATTTGGAGATGCTACGTCACGAATAAATAATCGGAATCCTTTAAAATTATTAAAATAACAAGTTTATTTCACTATATTTACTTTTTCAATCTCTTCCCATGATACGTCATTTAACCTTAGCCATAAGCATTTTTTCGTATATATTACACAACACAGGGAGGAGCCCGATAGGCCGCCACGATTTGGGCAGAGTACACTGTCTCTTTTCCTGGTATTCTGAGTACTACAAGCGTAGCTATCTTCCACTGCTCTGGAAAAGAGCTTCGTTCAAGAGCTTTGTTAGCAATAACTAGAAAATGCTCGGATCTGTAGCAATCGCCTGCTGAATGCATTCAATCCATCACCATCACCTCCCGCTGCGTTTTAGGGTTTAGCGAGTAGGGTTCATACAATAGTTTTATATACTTTATTATGTATTAAAGAAAATATCGAACCTGGGTCTATATTCGGGAAGACGATTGCGCCTCTCCCTCCGCCATTTGCCGGTGAGTTCTTTAGGCTGTTCGCGCGGCGTCTCAGGCGAAACGGTACGGTCTCCCTCCGACTCACAACTGGAGGCTGTACTTGGAGTTTCTGAAAACAAAACACGACACAGCTTTACTATTAAAATTCACATATTGACATATGACACGCTAGTCCGTCGGTGTTATTGTTTCCATAATATTTGACTGGCTTGTAGATTAGCGTATCTCAAGTTACAATCTCGTCTTACGCCCGAACCCAATAATCAATCCACAAACTCACATTGACGACAACAAACAATCTGAGATCAGACCGTGACAGTCGATCGATTTCCTATCTGCATCCCAATAACCAAACCCTACGAAGACAATCCATTTTTGGCGACGGATAAAATGCTCTGTGTCGTTCCATTTTACCGAGTTTTCACTCATATTTGATAATCAATGTAAACCAAATAAAGTAAATAAAACCGTACAAATAACATTAAAATATACATCTGTGTAACTCGGTAAAATGGAACGACACAGAGCATCTGTGTCGTTCCATTTTACCGAGTTTTCACTCATATTTGATAATCAATGTAAACCAAATAAAGTAAATAAAACCGTACAAATAACATTAAAATATACATCTGTGTAACTCGGTAAAATGGAACGACACAGAGCATCTGTGTCGTTCCATTTTACCGAGTTTTCACTCATATTTGATAATCAATGTAAACCAAATAAAGTAAATAAAACCGTACAAATAACATTAAAATATACATATCTATGTTTAAAACATAACAAACAGCTTTTTTAATTATTTAAAAAACTGGTGTAAGTTAAAATCTGTTAAAATAATTAACTGTTGAAATCGAGCTTTCGTCAACTGTCATTTTCATACAAAGGTCTATCCACAGACACCGATACGACCTACCATGGATAGCTTGTATCGACTGATGGCTTTTACAATCCCTCGATTGGTTATTGGCACACTTGTTACAACATTTGGATTAAGTATATTATCTCAGATGGTGGATAATGGATTGAGATAGGTTATTGGGGTCGGGCGTTAGCCTCATATAAAATGGTTTCACAGCTCTTAAAATAAGATAGTTAGCTCATTTGAACATTCTATATAGACAATAATTTATAATATTATATTATAGAGGAGTATACATACACAAATTATTCGTATGTTTTCAACTTTCGCTAAAATAATTAGCAAAAATCGGTATTTTAAAGGTTTTATCACTTCATAATGCGTTTTATAAGCCCTTTAAAGCATAATGCCCTTCTACTAAGGAAGGCTAATTTAGGGTTGACAGTTCACTTCATATGCAAATGTGTTTACCACACAACATAACTTATATTACATATCATTAGGTAAGAGACAAATTACAGAATAACACGCAGTCAAAACATGCTTACTGAGAAATATTTTTTGTTGAATCAATAATAAAAAAAGTATATTTTTAATTCCAATTTCACTTTTTTAGTGATTATACCAAAAAGTAATAAATCTTATAAACAACTGTACATATATATTCCGCAGATCAAAGCGAAGTGGAAATGGATAGGCTGTACATGAAGAGATTCCAATTATATCCCCTAGCAGACGCTTGATTGCAAGGAAAGCAAATACTCAAGATCGAACGCGATGGAGACTAACTGTGGACCCCATCTAGGGGTTATCGGTCCCGTTACATATATATTATATACATTCCCTTTTGACACAAAATTGCGAGCGCGAAAAAATGACAATGTCTGACGGCTCATTGGTCTAGTGGTTAGTACCCCTGACTGCGAATCCATGGGTCCCGGGTTCGTTCCCCGACTGAGACAAACATCGATGTGATGAGCATTTGGTGTTGTGCTTAGGTCTTGGATGTTTAAATATGTATTTATGTCTATCTATATGTATGTATAAATGTATGTATACCCATAACACAAGCTTCACCAGCTTAGCATGGGACTAGGTCAGTTGGTGTGAATTGTCCAATCATATAAAAAAAATGTACAAAATTTTAAAAATTGTCAATCTTTTCTATATATCTTTATGTTCGTTACATGTTTTAATATAAATTAAAAAAATAGCACATTAAATATCTTTAAAAAATCGATACAAGAAATCACGAGTTAGACATAACAAACAAAATCGAGGTTCATTTAAACACATCAAAGTTTTCACATTATAAAGAGATTAAAATTAATACCTTTATGCGCGGGAGCAATCCAAGGCTGCCATAGAGGCAAGTTAAACTTAGGCGATTGAGGTGGCTCCATGAAAGGGACACTTAAAGTCCAAGACAACAAGTATTCCATCATCACTCAACACATTGTACAAAAATATAGAAATTGGAGCACGCCATCGGCGTCTCTACACAGGTAACACTGAAGGTCGACTGAATAAAAAACTGGAAGAGATTACATTGGAATAAATAAATGAGATGAACAAAAAATCCAAATGGAAAAAAACGTACATCCACGCGGCCGGACGTTGCGGCGCTTCCTTCGTTCTACAGGCTGTTCTGGACTTAAAAGCTGTTAAAGCTTTATGTGCTGTAGGTATGGGAGAAACCCTTTGATTTGGTAACTGGTAGTTAATTTTAAATATAGACATTCATATGAATAATTAATTTGGTTTAAATATTTCAGATTCAAACAATTGATTATTTTAAAATAATATTTTTAAACAATAGTCTTAAAGCACTGTTTGTGCAGACTGTTTTGGACTTACAAGCTTTTAATAAAGAAAGCTTTATGTGCTGTAGGTATGGGAGAAACCCTTTGATTTGGGAACTGGTAGTAAAGTTTAAATATTTCAGATTCAAACGATTGATTGCTTTAATATAAGCATTTTTACAAAAGTCTTAAAGCACTCTTTATTCTACAGACTGTTCTGGACTAAAAGCTGTTAAAGCTTTATGTGCTGTAGGTATGGGAGAAACCCTTTGATTTGGGAACTGGTAGTTAATTTTAAATATAGACATTCACATGTGTACCGATATGAATAATTAATTTGGTTTAAATATTTGAGATTCAGAAAATTTATTGCTTTAATATAAACATTTTTACAAAAGTCTTAAAGCAGTGTTTGTTCTACAGACTGTTTTGGACTTACAAGCTTTTAATAAAGAAAGCTTTATGTGCTGTAGGTATGGGAGAAACCCTTTGATTTGGGAACTGGTAGTAAATTTTAAATATAGACATAAACATGTGTACCGATAAGAATAATTAATTTGGTTTAAATATTTGAGATTCAGAAAATTTATTGCTTTAATATAAACATTTTTACAAAAGTCTTAAAGCACTGTTCGTTCTACAGATTGTTCTGGATTTAAAAGCTTTAATTAAAGAAAGCTTTATGTGCTGTAGATATGGGAGAAACCCTTTGATTTGGGAACTGGTAGTAAATTTTAAATATTGACGTTCATTTGTCTACCGATACAAATAATTACATTTTTTTGGTTCTATATTTCAGATATTTGCGAGAATTTAATATTTTAATATAAGCATTTTACCACAAGTCTTAAAGCACTGCTTATTTTACAGAATGTTTTTGACTTAAAAACTTTAAATAAAAACAGTTTTATATGCTGTAGGTATGTTCCCATTTATTTATGAACAAGTAATCAATTTTAAATATTGACGTTCATATATTACCGATATATAATTAATTTAATTTCAATATGCCAGATTCAGACAATTGATTATTTTAATTAAGCCTAATACACTACGTAATTGTTGTATTGTTTTATTTATCGTTTATATTGTTATTATACTTGGAAGTGACAAATCGTGTGACACAAAAGAATTTATTAATACTGTCAACGCTGAATTTTGAAATCGGCCTTGTTTCGGACATGTATTATTTATCCATGACCGTTATATCATCATACAGTAAGTTATACGTTTCACATTTACCTATAGGAATATAGCAATTCATAGAAACAGTTTTAGCTGTATATATGAGTATTAGCGTATTAGTATTAGCGTAGTGGAGTCAGTGTGCGACTAATATCCGAGGTAGGTTCAAACTCTGGTTGTGCACCAATGGACTTTCGGTCCAAAATCCCGGTGTCATGCATAGAACGCTGAACCTACTTGCCTATTATTTATTCACACTTTGTTGCTTTACAATATAAAAATTAACATAATTACAGGTAAATAAAAGGCAACTGGCGGCCTTATCGCTTTCGAGCGATCTCTTCCAGGCAACCAATGTGAGATTTTTTTTTAAATTAAATTACATAAGGTAGGCAGGAAGTGCAAAAATACATGTATTACATATAGTTGTTAAGAAAAAGAAACTAAACAGGAACAAAAAACAAACTAAACTGATAAAGGATACACGAAAAAAAAAAAAATAAGTGCACATGAATCATAACAAATTAATTTAAGAACAGTCTCACGTCAGTTAGTAGTTATTATTAAAGTAAGGTATACGATGTGGACAGGTAATGTTTGTACAGAAGAAATTTGAAGGAAGAATTTCCTTCTCTATGAAGGAGCTAAGCGAATAGGGACTGGAAGTGAATTCCATAGCCTGACTGCAGATACCTTAAAGGACTAGTAAATAAATATAATTGTTAATTATTATTATTATTAATTAAGGCAATACCACTTTGTATCTGACGTATCTAATATAAACGAGCACCCTTTATATGGTATACATCAACCTGTTCGCTCCATTCATGAAAGTGCGTGAGCGCAGGGCGCGGGGATTAATGAACCCTCTCTTCACGTCTCCCTTCCTTCGCCAATACAGCCTTAAGCGCTTCAAAAAATGAATTTAAAACTCTATTCCCAACTAATAGGACCTAAATTAATCTGTCGGATATAACAATCGTGTCATTTGAATTGGAGTTCTAACTGTGTAGTGTGAAAGTCGATTTTCCATTGCAATTTTACCGCTAATAGCAAAGTTCGAAATTACGGTGGTTGTATCCTTGAAAGGTTGTGTTTTATTTTGATGCGGTTGTAGAGGGGGAGAGGGGGGGAACTGTGAGAAGCCGCGTTCTGGGGCACCGTGTAAGCATTAGCTTTTTATTATTGTCTATTAGATCCGAGCCTTCACAGGTAAGCCGACTCTTGGCGCCGCATGTGGCTTAATAATTACAATAGCGATTCTTGGAAACAAATGATTGCTATTAAGAATTGTAGACAAAATTATTTCTATGAAACGTATAAACAGAGCCTTATATTTACTGTTAAGGTAGACTTTATACTGTAATTATTTTACGGCTTTGAAAGTTTTACCATAGTTAAAATAGTTTGTTTAGAAGACTTTCCTTCTCTGTTCATATTACCTGATAAGCTTGACACCACATTGCATCTGTAATTTCCTAGATAGGCTTTTAAAGTAAGAATTTTTTTCAGGACCTGAATAAAGTCCAAAAGTGGACTCAAAACCTCCCGCCGAGTTTAATTAACGGCTGTTTTGATCCTTTTGGTCAGCCGCCCATTCAACCGTAGCGCCACGGGCCCCTACCTGCTTTATCGACTATCAGGTGTCAAAGTTATTGAACGCTGTTACATTGTAAGGGAACTATAGAAAAATACTTTAAGGTACCAATATAGATTATATATATTTTATAATAAATCGGCTACTGTTCTGTACTCACGAGTGAGTCTGTATTACTTTTAATCTTAATCCTATGTGGTAAATATTATTTATTTATAATATTAACGAAGTACAGTAACTTGTGAATTACATACATAATATACATACACTGTTGTTGTTTCTTTGTATTTATCATTTTTTTTGTGTTTTATAACTGGTAATAGTCGGTGAAAACAAATTAATTCTATAATAATCTATAATAATATAAATGTGTAATTATTTTGTAACGGAAATCAAGATTTTACAACCATACATAGGACACGTACAATAGCAAAGTTTAAATAGTATATAGGTATTCAGATGTCTACTGTACATTAAAATAATTATAAACAAATTTATAACAAAAAATCAGTAATACTATAGAATCTTAACCTCAAACAATGATAATAAATAAAATTATAAATATCGCCACAAAAGGACAAAAATAATCGAATTAGTGAATTAGTGTGACTGTACGTTAAGTGCTAAATAATGGGTGAAATAAAATAGTCCACAAGAACACTTCCTTTGATAGAGACTGTAAGTAATTCGACTTAGGGTCCTTCAAGAAAAGAGCGTACCAATTCTTAAAAGGCCGGCAACGCACTCGCGAGCCCTCTGGCATTGAGTGTCCATGGGTTATGTTATCACTTAGGTTTAAAGACTTTATTTTTCAAAAAAAAAGACAAAAAAAATCACTTAACAACAGAGACCTGACCGTTTGCTTTCTATAAAAAAAAAGAAAAAAAAAGTAGTGCTATTGCACCCTATTGTTCAAAATTATTTTTAGTAATATAGGTAAGTTTTATACGCGTTGCAGACCAAGAGCTAAGCTACGTTAATTTAGCTTAGCTCGCATAGCTGACGCAATTTTCCATACGTCTGTGCAGACCGCAAACTATGCGAACTAAGCTATGTGAGCTAACTAAAATATGCAAAGCTAAGTTAGTTGTGTATGCCGATGCGCAGCTACACGAGCTAAGCTAAGCCCCTCGCGCTACCCCGCACACCCTTTGCACATACTATGCAACACTGACTGAGCTTTGGGTTAGCTGTTGGTGTGCACGCTATTTATTTCTAGCTTAGCTTAGCCTAGCTTGCTTGGCATAGCTTAGTTTAGCCTTGGCATAGCTTAGTTTTCGGTCTGCAACCGGCTTTAAATTACTTATAAGTCTAAGTGTTGTGCAAAGACAGCTTGTATAAAAAAATACGCCACAGAAATCCAATAAATTCATATTTTTAATAATGGTAATTTTCTAGAGGAACCGCTGGAAGGCTGCGCATGCAGTGGCAGGAACAACCATAAATGTACCTCAAGGGAATGTTTACTTGCACGCATCGGTAGGAAATGGAAATTTAAGGTAGCCCTTTCCGATTTTAAATTACGTGCATTCGAATGATTGATATGGAAAAAAAGGAATTATGCGAAATCAGTCATGATTCCATAATAGGGACTGTATTTTGTCTCTTTATTAAAAGTACACCACATCATATAAAATGCTTTATATAAAGCATGTTACAAGCTATCTATGCTAAACGATTATCTAGTTGATGAAGGAGCCTGGGACTATTGCTAGACAGGCAACTTCTAATTAATTTGCAATATTTGTTTTAAAGTAAGTGTTGTTCGATGATTTGCTATTTTAAAAGAGTACCGAGTTTTTTACGCCGGCTTCTTCTCTCGGCCTACACCGTCTGTCTTCTTTGCCGATGCGTAGGG